CGCCCCGCCCGCCGCTCCTCCCGCCGCCCGCTGCCGCCTTCGATCCCCGTGTCGGGGGATCCCCTTCCCCTTCCCCGTGCACAGAAACACTCCACCGGAATGGAGAGCTGAGGTCCTGCTTGTACAGCTCAAGAGACAGAAAAACAACCCCGCAAGTCCTTTGCTGTTACCTGCCATGGACACTTTGCTATGTTTCTGTTTGAGCTCCAAGATATTTGCTCTCCTTCTCCCATGAACTTACACATGCTTCTTTTGGCCTGAGATAGCAACAACCTCACAATAAAAAGAGACAAACAGTTTTCAGACACAGGACACATTACCTTTATCCCTGGATTAATCATTTGTAGAGCTAAGGGATAATCTTACATTTTTACTTGAATTAAAGGGGGGCTCTTCTAAGAGTGAAAAATTAGTTTGCTCTAGTAGAGAGCATAATCCGCAGTTCCTGGACAGGGAGTTTAATACCATCCCTTCCTGAGCTCTGCATGGACCAGAAGGAACCTCTCCTTTAGTCTGACACAGAGATACCGATTTTTCTTGCCTTTCTCCTTTCCCTTCCTTTTCTCATTTCATGCAGAGGTATGAAAAACTACGGATTGGACAAAGCTCCAGCTGAGCACCAGGCAGGGTGCAACACAGAGAAGCCAGCTAAGTGTTGGGGTGGTTCCTCTAACAGGAATCTCTATCCCAAAGCAGCTTAGCAGGGATGCCTGCTTCACCTTCACCCACTCCACTGCAGCTGGACTCAGGGATACCTCAGCACACTACAGTCACTGACAGGGTGTTCCCAGGGCCCTTCCCAAAGGCCAAGGCTCTCCTCTGGAGCAGGAGCATCCTCAAAATGAATGAGGGCCCAAACAGCCACCACTGGGGTGGGCACAGACAGGGCAGGAAACAGGGTAAGGAAAGGACTGGCTCTGCTGCCCAGACCTGTGGACTGCCCATTGCCTTTTTCCTTGTTGTTAATATAGATTAATAATATAGATTGTAGACCCCCAGCTGCTTTTGTGTTGATATAACCTGTCACACCATTTTTGCATATTTTATCTCCCCAGAAAACCACACATCTTAAAACTTCTACCAACTATACCTAAGTAACTTCTCTGGTCAGCAAGACTAAAAATACAAACAAATGAAAAATACCCCATCAGCCTTTGGATTAATGGCAGCAGGGAACTGGTAATAAATCAATCTGCTCTGTGTTCAGAAACTGTGCTGGTGTAACTGCTGACAATCACTTTTAACAAATGACTAGTGCTTTTCTAGCTCCTGAACTCAGTAAAATGTGTTTATCCTGTACCAGACACATTCTACATAGACTTAAGTGAAGTTTTCTAATGCTTCTTTAAGATTACATTTTGCCCAAAGCAACATTCCTGGCATGGCTGCAGAGGACCTGCAGATCTCCTGTACTGACCCAGAGCTGCCTGCACAATGCACAGGCCACAGCACAAGGCACTGGGTAGTCAAACATGAGATACCCCCAAAAATTAAAGCAATCACTCCGAAATTCCCTGAATGCTTAGAAGGATTTTTGAGCTGAGTCATTAGGAAGATGAACCATACAAAAGAAAAATTGTCCTGGAAATGGATGGTGTTGTTAAAAGTGACAGATGGATCCAGCATCCTGGGAAGAAAGAATGTGACACTGGCTCAGCACAGATTGAGATCTTGTGGATAAGGAGCACTGGACAAATGGTGTACAAGTGGAACTTACTGCACTCCCTGAGTGTGACTGTTGTGCTCTGATCCATTCTCTCCTCAGATTGTCTGTCTTCCTGTTTTTCCACCTGGAATTACTTTGATCCATAAAATTAGTTGAAACATTTCCAAGTGTCTTAAAAGCTTTCTCAAAGGAAAAAAAAAAAATAATATTAGAGAATGTTCTCACAAAATTCCTGAGGAAGTCAATCTTGTTTCAATTCCTCCAATCTTTATTTAAATTTGTTCTCATGGGATCATTAACACAATACTTCTCTAGAATATAGAGTTTCAGAAAGAGTCTAATTAACCTCGAGTGTATTATTCACCTTTCCTCTTTGTATTCTTCGTGGCAAAAAAAACCCATAAATAAAAAGTGAAACTGCCACCCCAGATGACATCCCAGGGCAGCTTTACCCCATAAATATTCCTATTTAGGGCCACACAAAGACAGCCCATGCTTGGGTGGCTTCAAAGCACCAGTAGCAGTGAGTACAAATGCACATTCTTATCCAGAACATGAATCACACGCTCAGCACGAATGCTCAACAACACTACATGATTTTTCAAGAATGCTGCTGAGGGGTTTTATTTTCCATCCCCTGAGTTTTTTTGAATGATCAGCTGGGAGTTGTTCAAATGAATTCCATGAAATGTGGCACTCAACCAAGGAACTACAATCACCTGTGCAAATTATATCACTGAGGTGTCCAGCTCTGTTACCACCATCCTGATCCTGCTACACTTTCGCAGCATTAGCCTTTGGTATACAAAAAATCCCACCTGGCAAAAACCATCCTGGAGATCTGTGAAAAGGAGAAGGGGAAAAAGTAATTTGCCTCTAGAGTGACTTATAGAAGGATAAGGGCAAGTTACAGCTTGTTCTCATAAAAAATAGCTAAAAATCCATATTAGTTAGAGAATTATTGAACCATCAAGGCTGGAAGCAACTTTTGAGATCAAGTCAAACCAAAGACAAACCTGCCAGCATGAAGGCAGGAACACCTCCACAGTGTATTTCTTTGTTTGTTTCTTTTAAGTCATTCAGTGCAATAAGGAAGTTGCTGTGCTTTAATTCCATGTCTCCGTATTACACAACAATTCCCCTTAAGATATACCTTTCACCTCTGCTGGTAACACAGATTACAAACATGTACATCTAAATTACTTTGAGAACTTTTATTTTTATCAACAACTTTTTATAGTTTTATTATGAAAACAAATTACCCACATAAATTCTTATTGCTAGCAGTTTGAAAATCACATACCTGAACTGGTGACACACAGCTAACAGAAGCATGCTCATTTGTGTCTGTTTCAGCATTCTGAAGCCTAGTAATGACTTTTTTTAAAAACTATTACAGAAAGTGCATGAAGAATGTTCAGAAAAAGCTGGTTATCTTTTAACTATCAGTAGAATAAAGTAAGGAAGGGTAGAAATTATTTTTTCCTCCACCATGTAAGGCTTTTGAGACTTCTAGGGGTATCATTTCCTTATTTGTCACACATACTATTATTTTCAAACAAAAGGCAAGAATTGTTCCAAGAAATAAGTCTCTCTGAGACGTTTACTAGAAGTTCACACGAAACCCACCCTTGCTCTCAGATGGGAAAAAAAGAGTCAACATCTACTGACTTTACTTCCTTCAGTTCACACCAAGTTTTCCCATTCAAGAGTAAAGCTGTGTTGTTTCCGCTGCAGCCTGGGCCACCGGATCACAGAATAAGCTGTGAGTTTGGGCTCGTGACTCAATGAGAGTTGACCAAGTATTGGAGTTTGTAAGTTTTTACAGCGCCCGACACCAGCACAGGCAGTTAATGCAGACGGAAGACGTTGAAACAAAACTTATTTCCAAGCCAAACGTTGGTGAGAGATGCTCAGCAGCCACAGCACCCCCAGCTCCGCACCCGGGCTGCGTGAGCCCCTTCTAGCGGAGGCGGTGGGCTGGTGGCAGGAGCCTTTGCACCTTGCCGTGTATCTCCATGGAAGGTTAAAAACCAGCCCGGGGCAAGAGGAACAGAAAGACTCTGATGCCCCCAGACGCCATCCCGGGCGGGCGGGGCCCGAGGGAAGGCGGCCCCGGGGCAGCCT